TTATAAATCTCTTTTCATTTATTTTTCAGGAAAATCATATCCATAGTACACCCGGTGAATGCATGCATAAGCATTAATTGCATGATGTGCTGAATTTGTAGAATTTGACAACATGCATCCTGATCAGCATTCAGCTGAAACTTTTGATATAGATTTCTGATAAATACGTCTCCAGTCAACTCAGATGAGCTGCATGGGCACAGGCAGTTGAGAAGCTGTTGGAGAAACCTGAATTGAAATCTGACGATAACATCTCTTGGTCTGCACATTTTGCAGCTTCACAAGATTCCTGCCCAGACCACCGGCGATATCGAGGCTCATGCCATTATTCCGTGATAATGCACATTCTTTGGCGATGGTAAAGCATGGCATGGATGTAATCGCTAAAGCTACCGAACATGTGCATCCTGGACAAGTCCCAATATTGACTGTTGATCAGCCACTGTATGCCATCGTCAGGAAGATCCAGTGGACCTGGCCAACTGCCTATGGCGAAGACAAGTATGTTGTGATGATGGGTGGATTGCATATAGAGATGGGGTTCCCGAAAGTTCTAGGAGATTGGCTAGATGGCAGTGGATGGTTGGTTGTACTGACGACTGCGAACGTTACCACCGATTGTAGGGCTGATGCTCTTAGAAAGGGATCATTCACGGCACGTTCTCAGTGGACTCATCAAGTAACAGCTGCTGCACTGTTTTGTTTACGTAGCCAAGCCTACATTTCATACAAAGTAGAAGCCGAGGCAGGCGCGAGGCCTGTGATGCCATTCGAAAACTGGTGCACACACATTGAGACGCATCATCCGCAGTTTCGGTACTGGAACAAAACCTTCAAACCTGAGGTTCTCTTCCTCCATTTCGTGCAGTCACAGCGTGAAGGAAATTTGAGCTCTACATTGGCACACTAGGAAAGATTGTGCCATGGATGTTTGCCATGGATCACTTCCACTATACGAGGTGGTTGTCTGTTCACGTGTGAGATCTGATGCAGTTACAGCGTGAATGTCCAGCAGTGTGCAATGAGTTAAAAAAAAGGACACTTTGTGACACAGAAAACAACTCATCGCTTCTCCATGATGGCTCTTGACCATGTACACAAGCAGCTCAATGCTGTGTTGAAAGGGGATGGTGGAATAATCGGCATCACTGAAAATGAAGCAGCCCTCAGGCGGTGGATGATTGCAGGTCCCGAGATGGCCAGGATCATACATGAGGTTGAAGTGAGCAGATCGACACCATGAGCAAACTCTGACCACACAAAAGAAATTTGCAACAAATGTCCAAAGCATGATAGATGTGCTACGTGAATTGGGTAATCCCTTCACAGAAACGAGCGCTGATCTCCTCACACTGGACACGAAGGTCATCATGTATGATCAAGTCGTCCAGAACTTCTCAGAAGCCAAGGAAATAGGTAGGACTGCGAGTTGTGAAGATGGAGAAAGCTTTCAATGACACTATTCCAAAAAATAACCTCCGGTTGTTCAAGTCAGGAGAACGGAAAGTCTCCTGAAAGATAAAGTCCAAAATGTCCAACATGAAGAGCAACTGCAGCTATTTTCGCGAATGTACATCTCTTGTCAAGCACGAAATGGTGAAATGGATGTGTTCTTCCAGCATGAAAACCACTCTTGGCCACCGTCTCTGGCTGAAAACAACATGATGCGTCTCGGAGAAAAATCTGACTTGCCAAAGTATCTGGAACCACTAGCACCACGTCCACAGACCACACCAACTGTGGACGTGAAGATCTTTGATGGTGCTGCCCCCGTGCACACGTTGGATGCGAAGACTGCCACAACAAATGTGAAAACGTTCAAAGACTATGCAGAGTATGTCTTTGTCCCGTATCTGAAGAGGCAGCTTGTACATGCTGCACGGGTAGATGTTGTATGGGATACCTACATAGCTGACAGTCTGAAAGCGCACACCAGAGAGGGCCGAGGAACAGGAGAAGCTCTTCGTGTGTCTGAGAAAACACGACTTCCACACTTCTTGCGAGTCGACAGCAACACGACAGAACTCTTCAAGTTTCTAGCCACAGTTATTGAATCTGAAGCAACAGCAACAGGGAAGATACTGATCACAACCAAGGGTCAGAGTGTAACCTCATCCACACCACTAGATGCTTCTGACCTACAGCCATGATCACACGAAGAGTCAGACTACCGAATGATGCTCCATTGTCTCCATGCGTACAAACATGGCATGAAGAAGATAGTGTTATATGCCTCTGACACGGACGTACTGGTTCTTGCAATTGTGACTGCAATCGACATTGAAGATTGTGAACTTTGGTTAGCTTTCGGACATGGTGCCCATTTCCGTTACATTGGAGCTCATATTGTTGCCAGCGAGATGGGCAATGATTACTGCAGAGGCTTGCCATTCGTGCATGCATTATCAGGCTCTGACACGGTGTCATCATTCTGCTCCATCAGTAAGAAGACAGCCTGGGAAGTATGGAAGTCACATCATCAAATCAACGACGTGTTTCATCGGTTGTCAGATACGCCAGATGAGGTGACAGACGTTGACATGAAAGAACTCGAGAGATATGTGGTCCTGCTCTACTCTCGCACATCACAGCTCACTGAAGTGAGGGGGCACAGGTGGCCCAGTCGTCTAAGGCGCCGCGATTCGCTGTTCAGAGATGCGTCCCTTGGGCACGCCAGAAAGCTATGATTGTGGGTTTGAATCCCGGTTCGCCCCGATTATGTTTCTAGGTTTGTCAGCACCATACCTGTGCTCGTGGGTTTCACCGAAGTGGTAAACGTCTGAGACCTACATCACTTCGGGCTTTCCTCCCACATTAAGCTGACACGCCGTGATTTAACTGGAATAATGTTAAAAGCGGTGTTAAACCCAACTCACTCACTCACTCACTCACTCACTCACTGAAGTGAACTGTTCTCCTACGGTAAACGGAAGCTGGAGAACATCCCACCGTCATGTGCAGCACTGCTACAACATGTCAAGCGAGCGGATTACCAAGCCGGACACATCTGGGGATTGAAACTGGACAGCGAAGGAATCTGGGTGCCGTTATGGAGTACCCTCCCTGAAGTATCAAAGGGGTGCAGAGAAATCATTGAGTGTGCCAGCAAGAAACGCTTCACAAGACGATGCCAATGCTCCAAAGCCAGTCTCCCATGCACACAGCTCTGCTTTTGTGGTGGACAGTGTACACCCAGGCGCATTGAGTGACGGACCTCTTGCAGACATTGAGTGAAGGACTTCTTACAAGAAGAGAACACTTGTTTTTTCAGAATTAGGTGGAATCCAACAACTTTTAAGTGTGAAGGTTTCGTGTATGGTAGCATCACGTCAGAAGAAACAGTTTTGTTTGATTCTTGATTCTTGTTTTTTTACATGTATTTGCGTCGTCATGCCCACAAAATACTTACAAAATCTTATAGTTGGAATGTGCTGATGACAGAAAAAAAAAATCAATAAAAGCTATGTTTTAAATTATGGTTCAACTTCATACATTATTTGTTCAATCTCAATTCTGGGTTGGAATCAAATTACAGTTATGGAGAGATATCAAATTCGTAAAATGGATGGCGGCCATCTTGGATCGTGCACATTACAGTATTTTAAACTATTTCATTGCATTCCTTGGCCCCGAAAACCTATAATTTGCCACCAAGATCATGTTTCTATGTCAAATAGATCCAAAGTTACGGCCATATATCGAAATTTGTAATACGGATGGCGGCCATCTTGGATTTCTCCATTTTGAGTGGGAACCATTGGATTGCCAGCGTGGATCCCATTAAAATCGGATTCTGCATACTTCATAACCCCTGTATACAAATTTTCATGCTTTCTTCCAGAAGTGAACATCTATTTGACATATCTGCCCAGCTATAGTCACTTCCCGGTCGAAACCGTCAATGTGTGATTGTGCATCAAAATGTAAATATGACATGTAGATTATGTAATGAATTGAATAAAAATGTTCAAGACCTTGTCAGCGGATGCCCAGCTTTGGTACAAAGACAGTATCTTAAACGACATGATGGTGTAGCTCGATCATTTTATCACCGTCTTCGCCATGCTTGTGGTTTTGACACAGAGGTCCGGCCATGGTTCGACCCGGAATATGTAGAGGGCGTCACGGAAAATGATAAATACAACATTCTTTGCAATAGGCTTACATTTACAGCCTTAGACGTATCCAGGCCAACAAACCTGTTCTTGTCCTTTTTGATAAATCCAATGAATTAATTTATATCATTGAATTTTCCGTCCCCTTTGACACTAATGTGATTGACAAGATTGAGGAAAAACATGGCAAATATGCGGACCTCGCTTTCGAAATGTCACGCTTGCATCCCAAGTACCAGGTTGTCCAACTCCCCATTGTTCTCGGTGCCTTAGGTTTGGAACCTCCCAATCTGTTGACTGACATTGGGAGGGTACCCGGGTTTGCTACCAGGAATACAGCCCTTCTGACAATCTGGGTAATGCAGAAGGCTGCAGTGTTGGGGAGTCGTCACATTCTCCGAAAAGTTCTGGGTGGGTTTGACTAAGCAGCGCTTCCTGGGAGAAGTCCCATTCGCTGTCTGGGCTGCGTGTAGAGGGGGCAAGGGCCCTGAGCTGATGATGAACCTAACGAGCCTGATTGTGCCTGGATCACCCAAACCCTCTTTGCTGCATTTTTTTATTTTAATCTGTAAATAAAAAAATAAATAATAATAATAATAACAACAACAACAACAATAACAACAACAACAATGATAATTATAATAATTTTAAAATTGCTCACCGATAGGGAAACAGATTATACTCGCGTGTGTGTACCATGGCATACTGATATCAGGAAAGGAGTGTCAGAAGTCTTGCATTTCGAAAGCATGAATTCTTACATGAGTTTCGTAAAATTAGTACGAAATGTGAGTATAAAAAGTGCTTTAGATGAGGAGATCAAAAGGATCTAGAAATAATAGAAATAAATAGAGATAATAAAGCTTTTTTTTTACACTCGCATGTGTGCCATACTGATTTCACAAAACTCGAAGCCATGTATTACTCACGCTCCCGCTCGGGAAATGCAAGAATTCTGACACTCGTTTTTAAAAAACACAGTATGTCACACAAGTTCGTATAATAATTTCTGTTTATTGATACAGTTGTGAAAATAAAGAAATATTGTTGCTTAGATATTGATTGGTCATATTTTGTATTTTTTTCCTTTTTCATTGCAGTTGTTGTTTTCTTATCCAGTTGTAAGCAAGGTACGTAACTCTTGCTTGCTATATGTTACTAATAATTACTAATTTAAAACAATTGTTATGGAGCTTTTGAAATTAATGAAGATCAATTATTTTTGGGTGACATAGTTTTAAAGAACTGTTGCACGGGTAGCCCAGTCGCCTAAACTGTCACAAATCGCTATGCACAGTTGCGGCCCTTTGACGTAACAGGAACTTGTGATCGTGGGTTCGATTGTCCAAGGTTTGTCAACACCTAACACGTGTTTTCACGTCTAAGATTGCATCACTTTATTATCATCTCCCAGATTCAGCTGATACCCTATAATCACTGTTCTCGTCGGCGTTTAAACAAACTCATTCATTTTAAGAATACAGTAAACTACGGATATAACGAACTCAAAGGGACCACTAATTTTAGTTCGTTATAACCATAGTTCGTTATAAGCATATATTCAGCATAACTACAGGAAATAGTCGGGGGGGAAAGTAAGTTCGCTATATCCGTCAGTTCGTTATAAGCGTGTTCGTTATAAACGTAGTTAACTGTATATGGTATCTCTTCACAGATGCTCGGCCAGACGAACATGTTGACCATGAAGTGGATGAAAGTCTGGTGGTCGATCGTCCTGTGACTGAGGCCAACACCAACTACATCCATGTCTTTGACCCCTACTCCATGCGACGCTATTTAAACATGGATATTTCCTATGAGGAAACAGCCGCGTGAACTATCAAATTATTTAAGGATTGACTGTGTATTTTCTCCGGTTCATCGAGGTATGGTTCGAAGAACCAATGTGCAAACTGTATAAATCCGCGTAGCGGAATCCTACAAAAGTTGCCGAGTGAATGCCGTCAATCATTTGTGCCAAAATCACGCATCATCACCATCAACTGTTGACTTGACTCTAAAACCTGAAGCCATTCCTCTTTAGTACTGGACTGCAAAGCTCTATAAATATCCGTACAAAGATATAGATATTGCTGGGTCTAGTAAATGTACCACGAAAACCCACTCTCAATGATTAACCATAGCCCTTAACATCAAGAAAGGTTGATTGGTTGGTCGGTTTGTTGTTTAACGCCACACTCAGCAATATTCCAGCTATATGACGGCGGTCTGTAAATAATCGAGTCTGGACCAGACAATCCAGTGATTAATATCATGAGCATCGATCCGCGCAATTGGGATCGATGACATGTATGAACCAAGTCAGCGAGCCTGACCATCCGATCCCGTTAGTCGCCTTTTGCGACAAGCATAGTCGCCTTTTACGGCAAGTATGGGTTGTTGAAGACCTATTCTACCCCGGAATCTTCACGGGTCACATCAAGAAAGGACTGTCTTATTATTCACAGAATGGTTTTGAGACAAGTAGAATAATTATAAATACCATGTGGATTCTAAAAACTCGAAGGATTTGCTCGCTCGTGAAGATCTGGAAAGAACTGATCTTTATCTAGCCATGCTTGTTGTAAGAGGCGACTGAAGGGATCGGGTGGTCAGGCTCGCTGACTTGGTTGATGCATCTCAACGTATCCAAATTGCTTAGATCGAGGATCGTTATGTCAATCATTGAATTGTCTGGTCCAGCCGCCAGAGAGATGGAATATTACTGAGTGCGGCGTTAAACATCAAACAAACAAAACAAAGAATTTGTTTGACTGTTTGAAAAGGACCAAGTTCAATTCTGTCCAAGCATTTGATATTTCAACATTGTACACCACTATCACACATGACAAACTTATGAAAATCCTCATTCCTTGATCCACGGGGCTTTTGTTACAAAACGTGGTGACCGTAGATACACTTACATATCTATCTACAGAGGTTCAGGACAATGAGGCAAAAATGAAGTTTTCTAAATAAACAATATGTGAAATGTTGAACTTCCTCATTGATAACATCTATGAACAGTTTTGGGATAGGACATTCAGGGATCAAGTAGGCATCCCAGGGGCACCCCTTCCTGCTAATATGTTTCTTTGTTGATATGAATCGGAAGGTAATTTGGCCAAGAGGTGTACCTTGAGCTTCGGGTATATCAATGATCTGATATCGTCCAATAAGGAAATGACAATTTGCTATTCTGCGGGGGTGATGGGGCTGGGAGTTTGTATCAAGAATAGATATTTTACAAAAATAGATACACTGGATTAACTTTAGCAACTGATAATTAACCTTTAACCATTACGTATCACCACATTATACAAGAGGGTGAGGGGAGGTTGTTGGAGACCTTTATGTTTTCTTCAGCCCTTCAAAAAGGTCTTTTCCTGCTTGAAAGACAAGATGGACAACGCTATACACGAATAGTGTCTGTGTACGCGTGTGTCTGTGTATGCGTGTGTGTGTGTGTGTGTGTGTGTGTGTGTGTGTGTGTGTGTGTGTGTGTGTGTGTGTGTGTGTGTGTGTGTGTGTCTGTGTGAGTGTGTCTGTGTGAGTGTGTGTGTACGTGTGAGTGTCAGTCTGTGTGAATGTGTGTGTGTCTTTGTGAGGTGGGTGTTGGGAGTAGGGGTTGGGGATCTCCTTGGACTACCTTGGTGTTTTTACTTTCATGAGCGCGCGCGCGTGCGTGTGTGTGTGTGCGTGTGCGTGTGTGTGTCAAATCGAGGCAAGATTTTCTGACCTCCCCAAGGCCGCCACCTTTCGTTACATTATGAGTATAATGTGTTTGACATCAATGTATACAGACGCACAGACGTAATTTAAGAACTAGTTAATCTATAACCATTTCGTATCCGTATCATCACATTTTAATAGCTTCATTCTGATCAAACACTTATGCATACTGAAACACTAACCTCTTTTTGCCAAGCCAATGAAAAATTAAATCAGCGTGAAGCACAAAGTCGTAATTCAAACAGGAGAGGATTTGAATGAACTATTTAATGAAGCGTTATGGTACACAGATACCAAGTTACATTAAAAAAACAGAATAAACGAAAGCTATAATCGTGATGGCCATGCTCATGTTCAGATCAGAAACATATGTAATTGTGTGTACATGCATATCGCTAGGCAAATAATTAGCGGAAGCGATTAGTTAGTTGCACACTATTACATATATCGCAGGGAGTGTTGAGTGAGACGCTTTTTACGATACACGACCTCAAGTTCCGGCATTTCACTACTGAGTACGACAAGGATGGGCTTATCGATTGTATTCATGTGGTGGGTATTAAAGTGGCATTGCGATCAATCGCTTTAACCACAAAGCAACACAAGATATCTTTGATCCAGAGGAGTGTTCTATTGCATACCTACCTATTGATGCAAGTACCTTTACTGTCACAAAGCCCCCATTTGTAACCCGGAAAACAAACAAACTGTAATTTGCATGTGGTACCTTAGGAATCAGGAATGTGAGTATGGCACATTTCAGTTTAAAGTTTTGTGTAATTTAAAAGAATTAAACAAACATATTATGTGTGTGTGTGAGAGAGTTGGGTTTAACGCCGCTTTTAACAGTATTCCAGTTATATCGCGGCGTGTCAGCTTAATGTGGGAGGAAAGCCCGAAGTGATGCAGGTTTCAGACATTTACCACTTCGGTGAAACCCACGAGCACGGGTATGGTGCTGACACACCTAGAAACATAATCGGGGCGAACCGGGATTGGAACCCACATTCATAAGTTTTTGGCGTGCCAATGGGACGCAACTCTGCACAGCGAACTGCGGCGGCTTAGACGACTGGGCCACCCGTAACCCCCAAACATATTTTAAAAACAAAACTAGTTCAACAATGACTTCCTGAACCATTTGTTATTGTTTTCAAGGAACATGGGGTATTAAGTTGACACAATCGTAGTGCTGTACATGATACTGTTGCTATATCTACTGTGGTGAAGTTATTAATATTCTTTCATAACTAATCGTTTCAAAGTAATAGCTACAATTTTGTAAAATTATTTTATAATGAAGTAGATCTGCACATTGAGACATGCAGATATTGTACAAAATTTATACACACAACGTTGTGAGTGCACTTGTTACTTTTAACCATGAACCATACTTATCTATGAGGGTTACCTCCCCGATGGTGATATGTTTACTCCTGTAGCCTGACACGTCAATTATTCACACTGTCCAAAAGTGCTAATATCTCGCTACACGGAAACTGTGTCAACGTTTCCGCATAGCGATATGATATAGGCCTGTCCTCAGACATCTCGACAGGCTTATCTCGCGAGACGGAAATGAGTCAATGTTTTAACGCAGCGAAATGCTGTACATCGCTAGACTGGTTCCCTGTCATTCGCCTCCTAGCGGCTGCAGGCGAGGAGTGCGAGCGCTCGCGGGCAGGTAAACAAGTCTAGACCAGGACATGTCTCCCTGATATGATGGCTGCCGAATAAGATAAACATATGTTTTATTTTGTTTGTTTGTTGTTTAACGCCGCACTCACAAATATTCCAGCAATATGACGGCGGTCTGTAAATAATAATTCAATCCAGTGATTAATATCATGAACATCGATCTACGCAATTGGGATGCGATGCCAAGCATCAGCGATCCTGACCACTATCCCGTTAGTCGCTCCTCTTATGCATGTTCCCGAGGCAATGGGGATACTGACCATAAAAGATATTTTCCAAATCATTTCATGTTTTTATCAAGGTGATCACGTGATGTAATTCATTTCGCGCGGTAAGACCCGTTTTATTACTACACATATCTTGATAATCGACCAGATCGTGTTGACTGGGCACCGCCATTTTGTTTGAAGCAAATTCAAGTGAAATGAGAGGTCGAATCTGTTTGGTCAATAGGAGAGGCATAGAAGGGACTTAACTCGTAATATCCACTGGTGGCGCTACGATCAAGCCAAGAAATTCCAGCCAAGTTCGGGAAGGGTGGAAACTGGATTTTCAAGAGTGGGTTAACTCCCTTGCCTCGGGACGATGCCTACTATGACAAACATGGGTTGCTGAAGATCAATTCTAACCCGGACCTTCACGGGACCATAAACATATGTAGTGTAATAATGTACAGTTAGGAATGAAAAAACAAACAACATAATCATTTAAGCATTTCGTATGGATGCATATCATTATACACATGTGGGACAAAGATAAAGTTTCTTTTAAAAGTTTGGTTATATCTTTCTAACGATGACTCATCCCAAGTATTTTTTTCAAACCCATTACAAATAAGACACGGCGCCTGGAAGTGATCATACCTTGGAAGAAGATAATGAGCACTCAAGACAGAGACGTTGTCTTTCTAAGGAAGCTGTTAAGTTCTGGGTAGCAGCAGATCATTAATTAACCCCGAGCTGGACTTTCTTGTTCCTGTACTTGACACATAATTTATCAAACATACGAAACTATCCACACGGGTAAGCATATACGAAGTTAAATCTTGGCAAATGAATTCGATATATATTACAATATCCCAAACTTTCACGGATATCTTCCGGAATTGCACTGAACTGAGAGAAGTGAGTGAAGCTTCATCATGCCAAAAGTCTTATCCAAGAAGTCTCACACTGTCTAAACCTTGTCATATGACTACCTTGGTGTTTTATCGCTCTATTGAACTTGACTGGAACCTGGTCTTCTGTCTTCAAATTAAACTGTGGTTGACTGTAACGTACATGTAGCTTAAAAGGTTCCTACCAGCCTAGCCCTTCTTCAACCTATACTCAACTGATAGACCAACCCCACACATGTGCACACTTTTAAAACGTAAATACTTCCTTTATGAAGCCGTTCAGTTGCACACAACAATATGGAAATAGCTACGACAAAAGAATTACTTCCCTTGAAAAACGTCGGGTCGACATATGTGTCATTAAATTAACCAAGTCAAAACATTTCCCTCAAACCTCCATAACGGCGATCACAGTGGAAGCCATGAAGACATCTTGTTACGCTGGCGTCTTTTTGTTAGGTGTCTGTGGGTTAGGAACAGGTACGTGGTCGTTACTTTTAGAGCTTGTTGATGCAATTCTTGAACATATATATATTGTCACAGTGACTTTCTTTCCGATCTTCGTGGTTTGTGTAGGGTTTATTAGTGAAACAGTTGCATTGCAGCCTTTGGTGATATACTCTACACGTAAGAGGGCAGAAACAACGTAGTTCTTAAAAAAACAGTACTGTGATACCTAAATAAATACACACACACACACATATATATTGAAATCAAAAGACCAATGCTTTATGAATATTCATAATCGTATTTATGCCTAAACACTGCACATCAGTGTGTGGCAGCCATAATGTGGGAAGAGAGCCCAAACCGACGTAGGTCATTGACGTTTATCACCTTATCTTAATCCAACATGTTGTTAAAACAATATTGCCCAAACATCTCACCTTTTGTGGAGTAAAATGGATATTGCCGGAAGTTATTGTCCAAATAATTTAAGGAATAAGAAAATATGAATCTTTGACGGGGTGGACCAACATCGGACATGAATATTGTGTTAGAGTGAGTGGGTGAGTGAGTGTGGTTTTACGCCGCTTTAAGCAATATTCCAGCAATATCCCGACTGGTGACACCAGAAATGGGCTTCACAGATTAGCGTTTTAGAATGAAGTCGTGTTACGAATTCAGAAACACCTTGCATAAAACTCAAACTATGTTGACCCATAATGTAAACGAAGTTCACATTGTCGATGCTTACTGGTACAAACTTAAGTTGTTTGAACTTGCAAGTAAAAGTTTAACAAGTTGTCTATACTTTCCCAACATTTACAGACTTTGAAAATCACATATTAACATGAAAGTCAGAAATCTGTTTTACAGCTTTGATGACAATGAATCGGCCATCCCCTTGGGAGGTTGTTGCCGGGATGAATGCTTCTGTCTCCTGCTCCGCTCAATGCACATCGTCATGTAGCCTGTCCTGGAAGAAAGAGGGCGACGATACATTTTTTCATGCGGGCGGAACTCTCTTGCTCCATCCAGTTGAAATACCAGATCACGGAAATTATACCTGTGTTTTTGAGCAAGATGCGAATCAACGCGAAAACCAGACCATTGAAATTCTTGTGAACTGTGAGTACCCCATACTCTGACCTTTACACAAGCGAACTAATAAGTTCACTTTTAAATTGTTCGAATTTGGATGTCCATAGCGCATGCGTCCAGTCATATCATATACATTTTGCAATAGGTCGTCTTCACCCCATGCGTCTTCCACCTCTGTAACTGTAAACAAGTTATTTTTCAGACCCTTCGAGGAATGTTTCCGTGTCCTTCACCAAGATGAGCACAAATATCACGCTCATGTGTTCTGTGGATGGATTTCCTCCCCCTCTCGTCAAATGGTACAAGGATGGAGTCAACATTCACAGTGAAAATCTGACAGATAAATATGGCCGACATCAACATCCGGTTGATGGTTTCAGTAGTTTCTACAGGGTGACCGACGCCGGATGTGAAGATGGAGGAAATTACGTGTGTCAAGCCAACAACAATGCTGCTTTAAATCACAGCACAGTGGAAAACAACATAGAGGTTGAAGTAGACTGTGAGCATAAGTTAATTGTCTGTTTCTGATTATTTTCTCAATGGTCTGCCCTTTTATGTCTTGTCCGCGTCATTAAAAAACGACGTTTAAAGATGGTACTTGATGTTACCCTGCCTAGCGCTCGGCAATAAGAGATAAAGGACTGGTCGTCTCGGAGTCAGCATAATGTTCCACATATCATATTTTATTTTCATTCTAGATCTTTATTAAAGTAACCATGTACTCATATATCTGAAAACGAAATTTTCAGAATGGCTTTTTCGATGTTTCTATCCATCATAAACAAACCACCACATTAGTGTTTTAACAGAATCTAAAATTTTAAGAGCAATAATACACAATGTTTGTGTTCAGTTGTATTAAAACAAACAATCACTCACACCCACGTCATATGATTTAGATATAAATGCTCTATATATGCATATGTATATACTATGTTCTATTTAGGTGTTAAATAACCATTTGGTCCTTGGAGAAAGGATGGGTGATGTAGATGAAAACATGCCGTCTCAAGTGTTGTTGTGGATGCTGTTCTTCACTGTCCATTGTTCCAGGTGATCCAGAACTGTATGACGCAGCTGACCAGTCCAGAGTCTATCCACTGGTCAACCAGTCCAGAGTCTATCCACTGGTCAAGGGAGAAACCATCGTGGTCAATTTCACTGTGCGAGCTAACCCAAGGCCTGTACTAGCCACGTGGACATTCTACGGACAGTCGAAAATAAACCTTTTGAAAAATAATTCAGATAGAATGGATGAATACCGATTGAATAACTCGTCGGACATCTATTATTTTGAATTTTCCCATTTTAATGTCACTGACAACAGAAGAGGGCTGTACAGTGCAGTTCTGGCCAATGGTGTTCAGTACCCTCTGAATCTGACCTATACTCTGAGTATAGAATCTGAATCAGGTAATAAAAGCAGCTTGTTGTTATTTACTTTCATTGAATCGAAGCCAGCATTATGAATCATGTATAAATAAAAAAAAAAGCGACAAACCCCTGTCCATAGCGTTTCCTTTTCTTAAAGTGAGTGAGTGGTTTTACGACGCTTTTAGCAATATTCCGGCAATATCACGGCAGGGGACACCAGAAATGGGCTTCACACATAGTACCCATGTCGGGAATCGAACCCGGGTCTTCGGCGTCATGAGCGGACGCTTTAACCACTAGACTACCCGACCGCCCCCTTTCCTTAAAAGAATATTTTGTTTTTATCATATTGTTATAATGTGTCTTTTGTTCTGTAACTAAGACCAATAATACTGAACGAATTATGTGTTTGAACATAAAGGTGGTATATATTACTGTTAATAGAAATACATTTTCTCATGATTAATGAACTTATGTCTTTGAATCCACAGGAACGTCGTCCAGCGCTCCATATCTCAACAGTAAGTCGTTTGAATCTACCATTCTTCTGAAAACATTCCGTAGTAATAGTGAGTGAGTGAGTATGGTTTAACGCCGCTTTTGTGGTAGTGGTTACAATAGTAGTAGTAGCACTAGTACTAGTGGTCGTAGTAATAGTAGTAGTAGTAGTAGTAGTAGTAGTAGTAGTAATAGCAGTAGTAGTAGTGATAGTAGGAGGAGATGGGTTTTTATCGAAACAAAATGAATTGTCCCCGTGAAGTCTTGAACCAATGTTGTATCCTCATTAGATATTTATTTATTTTCAATTCAGAATATTTTTCATTGTTTGGGAACTAACAATGTTTTTTGTTGCTGCCTCACAGGTACAAACCAAGTGAACGTCACCAGTTCGTGCCTGGACCTTGGTAAGTCAAACGAGAGACATTTGAGCAATCATTAATTAGAGAAGTTCCCTATGTTCACACAGTTTAACATGTTGTCATGGAAACGTCATTTCTCGAACTGGTTGTATCCGACCATTTGCATAACCATGTTTATGTGTTTTTTTTTGTCATTCCAGAGTGCAACTACATGTTTGTCTTCATCAGTGGAGGTGTATTTCTGGTGGTATTGATCCTGGTCGTGGTTATTGCCGTCGTTCTGCACGGTGAGTATGACTTCTCAGTTAAATCTAACTTCAGGAACACCCAAATACTCACATGGCGTGCCTAGTCGTTTACGACGCCACAGTTCGCTGTGCAGAGCTGCAAGCGTCTGACAAACCGTGGTCGTGGGTTCGAACCCCAGATTCTCCATTATTATCCTCCAGGGAAGGGGAATATAGTAATCGGTGCTGTCCGTCCGTCCGTCACGTTTCGTTTCCGGAGCAGAACTAAAAAAACATGAGCGATATCTCAACAAAACCTGGCACAAAGATAGGACTAGTTGTGAACTGGTGCCTTTCGATAGTTTGGGATTTTTTAACAATTATTTTTCGAGTTTCCATAGCAACGTCTGTGACTTAGACTGAAAATGGCGGTGGTGCTCCATTCCGGAGCAGATCTTAAAAACCGTACAATATTCCTTCATTACACTTGGCACATAGATAGGTCGATCTAGTGGTAAACTGGTGCCATTCGATAATTTTTGTATTTTAAAAAAAGTTTCCTTAGACTGAAAATGGCGGTAGTTATCGTTTTCGGAGCAGATCTTGAAAACTGTACAATTTTTCTTGCCTTGCATACAACCGGACATGTCATATTGGCGGGGAATATGAGTATTTCATGCTTGTTATTTGTATAAGAATGACAGCACGATGTCCACGTATAGAGTCCAAGCATCACTCGGAACTCTTAGGCCGTGATACAACTGAAAAATTGTTCAAAGCGGAATTAGACCAAACAAACTCTCTTAAATACAATCCCCAAACCACGTTGATCATTACTCTCTGGAATCAAACGTGGTGTACTTTTCACGAACGTGAGTAAATGATAAGATGGATTTTGAAACGAGGGGATGACCAAGCTAGCTTCAACATCCTCACGCAGGTCAGTCAGTGCATGGGACTCGTCGAATGCGGAAGATAATTGATATAATTTTTTTAATAAAAGTTGTGTCCTGTTTACCCAGGTCCCCTGAATGTGCTGGTGAGATGCGTAACTGGTCTGTTCTATTGCAAGTGTTGCGGTGATGGTATGTAGAACAGTGGTGTCAACTTACTAACGTACATAAAGACATGTTAAAGTGAAACCTGGAACCTGAAACCTGAAACTTAAAACAAACCTGTAAGACAAATATGGACAAGGAAACCGAATTTACGAATATGTTATTATCCTGCAATAAAAAATCGAAGTGAAGTATTGAAGAAATTATAATTATCCTACTATTTAAAATTAATGAATAAACACATGTGTAGTGATATTACATCAGGAAACAACTACCAAATCGTGGGTCTTGGTAAGGAGGGGGAGGTCTGGCGATTTTGTATAGAGATAAGATATTTTTCAGCTACAAAACTAGATATTTCTTTTTTGTATTTTGAACTATGAGCCTGAGCCCCGTTCCACAAAGCGATCTTAGCGCTATGATTTTCGTAAGTCAGTGTTAAAGAATGGGAGTTACGATTGACTTAGCGCTAAGATCACTTTGTTGAACGGGGCCCTGCATTTTTTTAAAGGAAAAATACCTTGCGTCAAAGCAATAATTTTTCAAAAGTCTGAAGCATAATGCACTTCCTGCTAAACTTAGCTAAGTTTATACCTTTTTTCAAGCTAAATCTGTAATGTTCTTAATTTCCTCCTGTTAAATGATCTGATTAGATTTATACAATCTCTGTTTGATTTTCCAAGTCTTCAGCTCACATTAACCCCCCTTCACCAGTAAAAGCTCGTATGTCCGACTTCAGATCTTCAGGGAAACAACATTTGCTGAAAAACGGAAATAACTTAAAATGTTAATGAATAAAATCAGTTTCGTTTCGATCAAAACAGTTGTTTTGGATACGACTTATCAATGCTACAATTGACTATAAGTGATATTTCTATATTGATACAGAGTGGTATCGTAAAGTATTGTTGATAATACGGCCACTAGTTGAACTTTTTATCTGTTTTCTTGAAGGGAAGATAATTAGACTTTTGTTCCTAAATACTTGCTTCTAAGACTGGAATATTGACTACTTTTCGATTCAACTGTTTGAACATCAAGTTTATATATACAGTAAACTACGGTAATAACGAACACGCTTCTAACGAACTGACGGATTTAACGAACTTACTTTTTGGGTCCCGACTATTTGCTTTAGTTATGCTGTTTTTATGCTTATAACGAACTACGGTTATAACGAACTAAAATTAGTAGTCCCTTTGAGTTCGTTATAACCGTACTTTACTGTATATGTGTAATTGTGGATTGTGTTTGCCTCCATCCTAGCAGACACTCAACTCTACACATTTGACAAGTAAGGTATCGTTAATATCCTGATCTGCCTATCAGTACAAATCAAGAAAGAGAATACGAAGTACATGTATAGTATATGGACAAACAATACGTACAGTAAAGTACGGTTATAACGAACTCAAAGGGACTACTAATTTTAGTTCGTTATAACCGTAGTTCGTTATAAGCATATATACAGCATAACTACAGCAAATAGTCGGGACCAAAAAGTAAGTTCGTTATATCCGTCAGTTCGTTATAAGCGTGTTCGTTATAACCGTAGTTTACTGTAATTGGTGTTGTGTAATACAAAGCTTATCTCCCAACTTTGTTCCAGGTCTGAGGAAGCTGTGGGTGTCGGTGCCGTCAAATGAGGACATTAACGAGGACGACTTGGACTACAACTTTGTGATGCGGAAAGGCGGGTTCCCCATCGGTGCCAGCAATGCTTACATCCTTGACACGCCCATGTCCTTTGGGTCAGTCCAGGTACAAACCACGGGGTGCTAAACGTCAGCTGGAACAGTTTCCAACTACACAAAAGAGACAAAATCCTTTCCATAATCATAAAAAATATGTTAAAAGATGAGTCCATTGATCGATTCCGAATGCATCAGAATAATGTGTCTACGAATCATTGTCAAATCAGTAGAACACGGATATAACGAACTACAAGGGACCAGAGAAATGAGTTCGTTATATCCGTTGTTCGTTATACACGTTTTCGCTCGGAAACGTCCGCCATCTTGGATAAGACAAAACACAATACACGTAATTGCAGTGTTACACGTGAAATCTTCATGGCCTAATTTCACTGCAAGTTCGCCAGCTTTGGTCTGCAGTAACGGACCACTAACCGGAATGTTTTCGCTTCTCACGGCTTGAAACCATTTGAAGAGGGCGTCCTCTACGTCTTGGTGATTGGCAGCTCGTAACCTCTTCCGGGCGGGGCCAAATTCAGTCGAGTCGCAGGATTCAAGAATGGATTCTCCCTTGTGATGACAACAGATGCTCGCAATGAGTTGCGTGAACTGCACTGGCTATAGTTGTCCACCCTGCTCTTCCTGCGATAGTCGACCGCCTCCGTGTTTCAGGTATAAAACAGAATTCATCCACTCACTCTCCGCTCATTCAATTATCTTGTATATGACATGGGGACCTTCCTGTTAAAGGACCGCTTCCGTGGTCTAGTGGTAGAGCGTCCACCCGGAGTGAGAAAGGTCCCGGGTTCGATCCCCGGCCGCGTCATACCAAAAGACGTTAAAAGATGGTACTTGTTGTTACCCTGTCTGGCGCTCGGCATTAAGGGGCTAAAACAAGGACTGGTCGGCTCGGAGTCAGTATACTGTGTCTGAGTGGGGTATTCATGTTAAACTGCGGCATGGTATCTCAGTGGGCGAGCACTATAAATCGGCATCAGTCCGGACTAGTACAAGCAGCCACACACACACACGTGTATGCACGTCGCTATATAAGTGCAATAATCTTGGATGCGACGTTATTTCACCTCACATCCCCTCGGATAGGCAGATTCGTACATTCAACTCTGCTTTGATTATCCGCTTTTATAGAATCTGATAGTTGTAGTTAGTGATAGAAGTGGTTAGTAGATGAATGTTATTTTATGCCGTTAGCATCAATACACCTGCTACATCACACAGCCTGTAAATATTCTCGACCACGAAGACAAAAGTGGTTTTATATCACCATTTCAGAATGGTGAGATCTGATTGGTTCACGTGATCTTGATAAAATACTATGTATCCCGCCTTGGGGGAGGTAAATTTCTCATCGGGAGAATAAATCCCTTAAAACCCCGCAAAGAAGATTACAGGCTGCACGTGGATTTCTCAGCGGGAGAATAAATCCCTTACACCCCGCTTCGAAGCAAAAAGCCGCACGCTTTTTCCGAGTCAATGAAAGTCACGTGACATACCACAAGTTAAAATCAGCTTAGTCGAACAGCTGTTTTCTATCAATTTTGAATTAGTTTTGATTCTTTTACATGTCAAAACATGTCGGTAAGATAAATTCGTTGTAGCAGTGTGGTTTTATGCGTCCCGCGTTAGGTTTTCTGCCACTCGCCGATATTGCTACAGCGTACATGTATATTGAGGGACGATGACACGTAATCAGTGAGACGACGCCTTGCCCTCGATCGCCATGTTATATGGTTCTCACAACAAGCTGGTAGCTGGACGCCTGCTATTCCCATCTCCCGGGATGAGTGATTGAGTGAGTTGGGTTTAACGCCGCTTTTAACAGTACAGTAAACTCTCTCGGGATGACATCATGGTGATCATTGCCAGTCTACATCTAGCTGTGTAGATTATGTTAATTAGATCGTGCAGCGCGAGTTTCATGTTGTGTTTTGATTTCCTCTGTCTGACCTCCTCGTACTACGGAAGCCTTTCAGGGCCACTTGTTTTTTTCTTGAAATTTCAACTTATTATCTTGAAATTCCAACTATGCATCTTGAAATATCAACTTTCTATATTGAAATGTTAAGAAAAAAAACAAAAAAAAACAAGTGGCCCTAAAATAGCATCTTGCAATTTCAACTTAGTATAAATGCCAACTTAGCATCTCGAAATTTCAACATAGAATCATGACATTTCAACTTAGTACATTGAAATTTCAAGACAATAAGTTGAAATTTCAGGTTATAATCTAAAAATTGCATCATATTATCTTGAAATTTCAAAATCCTTATTTTCTAATTTCAACTAAGTATGTATCTTGAAGTTTCAACATAGCATCTTGAAATTTTAAGATCATTATCATTATCATTTAACTTTATTTTTCTGTGCGCATTAAGTCGAGAGTAATTAAGATCTAGCTCGTATTCTGTTTGTTTAAATTTGGATTAACGATTGTATTTATAATAAATGTACACGTTTATTTACATTATTTGTAAAAAAAAGTGAAAGTGAAAATCAGATTGAAATTTTATTGCTTAAAAGAAACTAATTTTTAGAAAAAATGTTATATGTACATATATGTAATATATACTGGATAATATCCATATTTTACAAGAAATTATTGAAAAGTATAAAATGCATTTCTGTATAGACATGTCTTTATGATGAATCAAAATGATTCTGAATTTCACCAACACACCTTGCATGTAATAGTTTGGGCTTTTTATTACTAGTATTATCCTTATTAACTTGATGTATATAGCTATAAAATTAGCATAACTGTTTTATTGATATTGTATTTCCTACACATTGATTGAATTTGATTTTTCAAATATATAATATTCTTAATAAATATAGCTGTACAATCTGGATGAGATGCTGTTATTCGTTGCTTTTGGTTTATCGGGTGAACACTTGTTTATGATTGGGACGGAATGCCTGGCATCATCGATCATCGCCGAGATATAACTGTCAACAATATGTTGCCTGTTGCGCCCGATGGAAAATGGTTTCGGTAGATAATCGGGACAATTTATTCCCTTGCGTTGAGGTTTAATATTTACTTGAACTGGGTCGATGGTTCTGCTGGTGGACTAAAGTCCCCGAGTTTCATCATAAACTCAGTAGCATTTATCAATAATGCTGTGTCAGTGACAAACGTAATGTTTGGCCGAGAAATTATTAAACTGCCCCCACGGGGCTGCAAACCGAACTTATTTTTTAACGTTTCTCTTTACTCATCTCTGCACTTGACGTAAAACAACATTCTTTCACCAGCTATTTACAACGTTCATGAAAGTAAAATCACCAGGCTAGTCCAAGCAGATCATCAACCCCTCCTCCCTACACCCACACCACGGAGACACACACACTCACACGGACATGCACGCTCACACAGGCAGACACACATAGACAGACACACACACTCACACAGACACACACACCCCACAAAGACACACACACTCACACAGACAGGCACACACAGACAGACACACACTCACAGACACACACACACACTCACACAGACAGTCACACACAGACAAACAGACACTCACACACACACTCACACAGACAGACTCACTCACACAGACAGACACATACACTCACACAGACACACACACTCACACACACAGACACTCACACAGACAGACACTCAAACAGACAGACACACACTCACACACAGACAGACACTCACACACACAGACACACTCACACAGACATACGCACACACAGAGAGACACACACTCATACAGACACACACACAGACGGACACACACTCACACAGACACACACACAGACGGACACACACTCACACAGACAAACACACACTCACACAGACCCACACACAGTCACACAGACAGACACACACTCAAGGACTCAGACAAACAAACACACACACACACAGACACACACACACTCACACAGACACACACTCACACAGACAGACACACACACTCACACAGACACTCACACAGACAGACACTCACACAGACAGACACACACTCACACACAGACAGACACTCACACACACAGACACACTTACACAGACGGACACACACTCACACAGACAAACACACACTCACACAGACCCACACACAGTCACACAGACAGACACACACTCAAGGACTCAGACAAACAAACACACACACACACAGACACACACACACTCACACAGACACACACTCACACAGACAGACACACACACTCACACAGACACTCACACAGACAGACACTCACACAGACAGACACACACTCACACACAGACAGACACTCACACACACAGACACACTTACACAGACGGACACACACTCACACAGACAAACACACACTCACACAGACCCACACACAGTCACACAGACAGACACACACTCAAGGACTCAGACAAACAAACACACACACACAGACACACACACACTCACACAGACACACACTCACACAGACAGACACACACACTCACACAGACACTCACACATACAGACACTCACACAGACAGACACACACTCACACACAGACAGACACTCACACACACAGACACACTTACACAGACAGACGGACATACAGACACACACAGACAAACACACACTCACACAGACACACACAGACAGACACACACTCACACAGACACACACACAGACAGACACACACTCACACAGACAGACACACACTCAATGACACAGACAACACACACACAGACAGACACACACTCACACAGACAAACACAGAGACAGACAAACACTCACACAGACAGACACAGTCACACAGACATGCACACACTCACACAGACACACATACAGACGGACACACACTCACACAGACGGACACACACTCACACAGACAAACACACAGACACACACTCACACAGACAGGCACACACAAACAGGCACACACAGACAGACACACACTCACACAGACAGACACACACACACAGACACATACACTCACACACTCACACACAGACACACACTCACACAGACAGACACACTCACACACACAGACAGACGCACACACACAGACAGACACACACTCACACAGACACACAGACGCAGACGGACACACACTCACACACACAAACGGACACACACTCACACAGACAGACACACACTCACACAGATACAGACAAACACACACTCACACATACACACAGACAGACAGACACACACACAGACAGACACACACTCACACAGACACACACAGAGACAGACACACACTCACACAGACAGACACACTCACACAGACACACAAACAGACAGGCACACACTCACACAGACACACATACACACGGACACACTCACATAGACGGACACACACTGACACAGACACACACAGAGACATACACACTCACACACACTCACACAGACAGACACAGACACACACACTCACACAGACACTCTCACAGACACACACACTCACACAGACACACACACGCGCAACACTCGCGACGTTAACCCTATTCCACCATCACCTCGCCCGTCTGTGTCGACTCATTGATATCTTGTAGATGCTGCATGTATCTGTCCTACGCTTGTCTCACCACATGTATGTTACAGAGACATGTCAGTGTGGTAAGAAAGGCGTTCACTGCACTGATACAAAAACAGAAGTGAACTCCTCCCTGAAGATAAGACCCGTGAAGATCCGGGGTAGAATACGTCTTCAGCAACCCATGCTTGCCGTAAAAGGCGACTATGCTTGTCGTAAGAGGCGACTAACGGGATCGGGTGGTCAGGCTGGCTGACTGTTTGATGTATGTCATCGTATCCCAATTGCGTGGATCGATGCTCATGATATCAACCACTGGATTGTCTGGTCCAAACTCGATTATTTACAGACCGCCGTCATATAGCTGGACTATTGCTGAGTGC